AACCAGCAATGTTATGCATCACGTCACAACCACAGGTCCACCTGTGGCATCCAAAGCGCGCCGTCTAGCCCCCGATAAGCTCCAAACGGCGAAAAATGAATTCGACCACATGCTCGACCTGGGCATTATCAGACCGTCGAACAATCCTTGGGCATCGCCATTGCACATGGTTCCCAAAAGGATAGCAGTGACTGGCGTCCAACCGGTGATTACCGAAGGCTCAACGCCAAAACAACTCCGGACTCCTACCCGATACATCAATACAAACCCTCGTATACTTTGCCTTTTTATATCAATTTTTATTTACCATGTAATGAAATTTTAAAAAAAACGGTAAAGATAAGCGTAAATTTTTATTTTTCGATATGTTGATATATAAATAATTCCCATTTTTACGCAACGTTTTCGTGGTATTAAAGACTTTTATTTATATTCCAGGTGCAACGAGCACTGGACGGAACGTCGAAAGGAACAGATGACCGCGACCGACGTACAATTCCATTTATTGTATTTTATTTATTTAATCGCCACGACACCCTAGAATAAGGTTCAGACAACCAGGGGCCACCTCACGCAGTCAGCCCATCGGAAGAGTTTTACCAGTGGAGAAACCACTGGGTTTTTACTTCCGGCTGGTATCGTCTTAGGGTCCTCACGAACCCACTAGGGGGGGAGTGATCTGTAGCGTCATACACTTCCCCAAAATCAGTAGCCTAGGGTTTGACGACTTTCGACATCGATGCTGACCTTGATAGTTTAACTGGACTCGCTAAGCTGAAGGCACCCGGTCAAGCATCCTGGCCATTTGGCACGCTGTCGTGTTACGTTGCATTGCTCGTATTCGACTCTCTAGCCAGTTAGTTGGAACGCATCGGTATTTTGGCATAACCATCCAAATATACTATTCCATCCGACTACGCTATCGTGTTCTACCTTGGTCTCGTATTCGTGGGTATATAACAAGTTCGAATAATTAGTGATTGGTCTTTGCGTCTGTCAAGTTCGCACCAGGACAAATCCTAAATCTCTTTCTTTTCACTGTTTCCTTTGTTTCCATTTTTGTCTTTTCATTACCCCATTTTCCCTCTGCAACTGGTCCGAACAAATGTATGGCGACATGACATTTGAGGAAGCTACTTGCGCCATATTACTGAGTTACATGAATACATAAATATTTTATTCTCTTACCATGGATTTAACACGAAGGAAGCCAGTTCACAGACATCATCATGCTGATATACGTTGAAAAGTCTACAAGATTTTATGAGTCCTGAGTAGTACAGTAGGAGGGTCATTAAATCCTATTAAGAATACCAAAAGACTCTGGTAGCTATGAGTCAAACAGGAAGATGTCACTTTCCAGCATTCACGGTGCTGGAGTTTAGATCGCTTTCAGTCGCATTTTTTACACCATAAGTCGCACCAAGGCCAGGCAAAATTGCGAACTTCCATTAAATGCAGTCAATACGTTCTACCCCATGTAAACTTTTTTGCCATGAATTCATATGCTTATACCCCCGGAGACAAAAAAACTCATATTGACGATTTCGGGGATCAGTCAGCTTCCACATAATCATGTAATCTAAATGAATACCCATGTGCAAGACTTATGCACCAGCCCGCCTAGGTGGCAGATACCAGTCACCTGCCATGCTAACGGCCAGTGAGCAGGTGGGTTTAATGCGTTGAAATCCCCGAAGGACCTGAATCTGCTCCTTAAGATATAGAAGAGGGCACGATGAACTCAGCTGCTCAATTTAAGGTCTAAAGCTGGATACTGAATATATTGAATTTTCTTCTCAGACCCGCCTCGAGTGCGTAATCTGGTAGTACAAAATCTGCACTTTTGGATCCTTAGGAGGCACACCTCTGCCACTCCTCAGGGCAGCTTCAGGGAAAAGAAAGCCTTCGGTCGTGAAAAAATTCACCAATACCGAGCTTTATGCCACTCTGCCAACAATTAAGCCTAACAGTGTCGCCAACCATTGGAACCATCGGTTCCACAAAATCTGTGACGAGTGGCCAAGAAGTCTCAGGAAACCATCCACAAAATCGAAAGAGTGCGGCACCAGCACGCATTATTGACGTCCATACTTGGCTGGAAAAGCTGTCCGCTGTGCATCACTCACGTGAAAACCGAAGTTTGCTGCGTCGCTGTAACCGGTACAGAGGTCAGCCTTCTTTTCACTGCTGCAAGCAAACTTTCTTACGACCTGTCGTTCAATCTCCAAGTGACTAATGGGCGAAACGGTAGCGATTTCTGAAGGCAGGCGTATCAATCCTAGCTTAGGCTTACGCAAAACTATTCAACAGATTTTTCCCCTCCCTGGTTTCTTATTATCCATCATTGGCATAGATTTGCTGAGTCGTTACAAATAACTCGTAGATGGCTGTTAACGTCGACCGATGGATAATTAAAAGAAGTTGTAAGCCTAAGAAACTATCCATGAAGACCATGGCTGAGCCAAAGATAGGGAAATACTCAGTCGACGCGTCCTGTCGATGCGTGTTATGCACATATCCAGAGTTGAGGCATCGGATGTATACTTTATTGGGCATAACTGGCAGTGAAATGCGTCAGGTTGTAGCCACAGCACCGACTGTGGCTCTGAAGGCATGGCGCCCTGCTTTACATTGAGTATGAATGGTGAAAGAACCCTAGGACATGGTCACGCTTGGTGCCATCCTACTTTCTTATAGGCGTCAATATCATCTATGGTACTGAAGAAAGAAAGGAGTGACGATGTCCAGCTGGCGAATAAGGATGGTTTAGAGCCGAAACAATGCCCTGAGCTACTCAGTAGTCTACACTTAAGGTCTAACGACGGTTCTGAACTCAATAAACTTGTTTCAAAAAGTTATCCCGGTAGAAGCACCCGAGTTACCTATCTTAGCAGCAGTTACCTCGAAAACAACAATAGTTTCATCTACGCTGGCCATTTTATCTTCACGATGCAATGAAATGAGCCGAAGCCTTACGAGCTTCGTCCTCTTGGCTGGTGAAATCTGATGCAGGCGCTTGATCCTGGCGTTTCAAGCAGTAAAGAAGTCTAAGCATTCAGTAAACATCCCAAAGTGTCAAATAACGGTTGAAACGCTCGATGTTGTTGAGCTCATCATAGACAAAAGTGGTACCCACCCTTTGACAGACAAAGCGATGACTTTTCTGGACTACTCCGAATCAACCACTTCGGATAGCCAGCGGTCTAGCAGGTTGTTGACAAAGGCACATTTCCAACTTATCTTCTCTTATGAGACCACTGACATCTGCCTCAAGAGAGTACGATGTGTTTGTCCGAGTACTATGGGTGAACTTACCTTCTCCAGGTTTAAGTATCCGATTTCAAGTTCTACTATCCCCGTACACCATGAACCGTGTGTTCATTTGGGCACGTTGGTTGTGTTATGTTCTCGAGGACAGTTGGTTTACTGGTGAGATTTTCACTGTTTTTCTAGACGAAATATGAGTGAGGTGTCGAAAGTCCCCATAAGCGGCTGATTAGTTTGCACTGACGAAGTGGTCTGTGACTGATGGCTGTGCCACTGACTGAATAGATTTTCCGCTTCATCGTTTTGACACCTGACCTCAGGTCCGTAACTGCGACTCATCCTGTTGACTGACGAATGGCGTTTGTTTCTCCATCTATGATCTCTGCATTTCTGATATAGAATTCATGTCCATAAACGTCGATCTGCACTCATATGAATGGCGATACACGGTGATATTTGGCAGCCAAATGACTCACGCTTGCCGACCGACGCTAAATTAGCAAAAGTGGCCGCTTTAGTCGCCTTCATTTACGCGAATATCGACCAGCCATTAAAAGTCGCCCAGCAGAACTACCTTATGGTGTACCACCGAAAGCTGTAATATGGTGAGGAAAGTTTGATGTAATCGAACGAAAAGGAAGTGAGGATTCTTTCATTGTTACTGACCGCTTGCACCTAGATCACTCCGAAGGTCAGAATTACCGTCAAAGATGTTTCCTCTCATAACAAACAGTCGGTGGACTGCAGGGCTGTAGAACATCTTGTCGACTCACCTAGAAATAAGGAGACGCCACTGTCTGCTGCACAGTGAAAAACGCCTTCATATCTCACGGTCAAGTTCAGGACACCGCATGAGACAGAATAGGCTATCTCGTGCATCTTTTTCTAATTTTTAATCGTGATATTAAGTGTACTAAGATCGTATAACTGCTTCACACTGCTTGCCATTATAGTGCAGTCCTTTCTGGTGCCCAGTTTTCATATGTCGGGCCAAAAGCCTGGCCTTTATTTTGTTGCTATCGTTTTTCACCTTCATAAAATTTTGACGCTAAATTGCAGGTGTAATGAGTACCTGAGTGACCATTACCGGAATATGGGGCTCACTATAACCTGCTTTTTGATCAACTGTTTTATTGCATTCACAACGTCTAGGAAAAGTTTAAACATCCTAGCGCCAGTCTTTACACCAAACCAATAGGTACAGGTTTCCCACGGATGAGTGCTTGGTTCTGGGTGATATCGTCTTAGGGCCCCTACAAGCACATTAAATGGGGATGAGCTGCAGCGGTAAATAATTCCTCATAATCTATGGCCCAATACTCGACGAGGATCACCAGTGATACTAGATTTCATAGTCTTAAAAGACTTGTTTACGCTGTAGCCACGGGCAAGCATCCAAACTGTTTGCCCCCGTTGTCGTGTTACGTCGCTTTACTCATAAATGAATGCCAATCTAGTTGGCCCAAGAATTTTAGCA